TCTATTACCCTCACTGTCCAGGGAGGCTTCCAAGACATAGAACCAATCCAGATGGACAGACAAGGGGACTGAGCAGCAAAGAGAGAGAAATGGCCATAGAGGGAGCAATCCCCAGTGTGGAGAACACCAGCGGTCCTCCTCATGCGAGTCACAAGCCAGCTTGTGTGTTTTTGCCAAATGCTAAAAAAGCCCAAACGGAACGGAGCAAGGAGAGAGTGTCAGAGAGAGGGTACGGGGGCTCCAGGAACAAAGAGATGACCATGAACTCTGATACGCTTGCATTCATCTTACCCAAGATTCCCCATCCTGGTAGTCTAGTGGAGAGGCATGCATCTGAGCTGTAGAGGGCTGGGGCAGGGATTTTGTAGACTACAGAGTAGAACTTCTCAGCTAAGACAGTGGTCAGTACTCAAATCATAGGAACTTGAAGGACTTCTAGGAGCCAAAATCCTAGAAGTTGGAAGGTGAATTTGGAATTGGGATGTGAGTGGGAGGATGTCATAAAAACAATGAATAAAACTAATTGAGTTAGTAGAAAAACTATATACTTTTTTTGGGGGGGTTTCAGACAGGGTAACCCTGTCTGTCTGTGTAACCCTATCTGTCTTGGAAATGGCTCTGTACACCAGGCTGGCCTTGAACTCAGAGATCTATCTGTCTCTGCTTCCTGAGTGCTGGGATTAAAGTCATGAACTTTTTTTCGTCCATGATGGCTTGGCTGTTTGCCAGCTCTCTCCAAATTTTACAAAGGCTAAAACATGTGCTATACTATAGAATCTATAGAAAGCCCATGACTCCTAATTCCCATGTCTCATGTTCTGTCCAATCACCTGCTTTGCCCTGAGGGTGTGTGCTTGCTTCCTGCTGCTACTCACAGAGGTTTCCTTGCCCTACCCGCTCAGTTTGGTTAGCCAGTTCACTAAGATCATCTTCTTGATCATTTATTCCGGATGCAACCCTTCACTTTTTTCTGTTGCTTATGAACTCTCATCCTGCCAACTGGTGACTCATCCTCGGACACCCTGAATCCTCTTCAGAGGTAGGCCCAAGGGGATAGTTCTCGAATTCCACCTTGGAACCAAGAGGCAGAGACCTGTGTTGCGTGAGCTGTGAACCATACCACCAGTCAACCATGACCTCCCAACGCTGTAATTCCTACCTGCGGAGCAGAGCAGGAAATGATTGTAGCATTCGGCTCAGCCCCGGTTGCCTAGGCTTCTCCAAATGACCTACGGGAACGCAAGAAAATACGTCTATCGAACACCGAACTTGAATGTCCTCTACTACAGTTTTAGGAGAAAGCAAGTAAGGTTTTTCTTCTTTCTGTCTTCTCCTCCTTTTGTGTGTATCGCAAGCATACCAACTGCTTCTCAACAGAGGGAGGGATTTTCCAAGAGCGATCACACTTGTTCAGTCAGTCCCTGGACCAAGAAAGAGAAAGGCACGTGCACACACTCCCTCCATGTCCCCCGACCTGGCTGCTCCTCCCCATAGAATAACTGCTTTTCTGACTCCAAACAATTCATTTTGGCCTGGTTTAGACGTTCATACAGATAAGGTGGATACCTTGTATCATTTTTGGTTTATTATGACATTTTTAAAAGATCCAACCATGTTGTATATAGCCACATTTTTCCACCCCCCCTTGTCATATATTTCATTGTCTGAATACATTACTCTTTATCCATCCTACTGCTTTTGGACGTTTGGGCTGTTTCTAGTTTTTAGCTAGTTTTATGCTAACTCTTGCTGTGAACATTCTTGTGCACGTCTTTTGATGAACATATGTGTGCATTTTAGTTGGGTCTGAATCTTGGAGTAGAAATTTTTGGGTAAAAAGTATATGCATATGTTCAGTTTTAGTAGATACTGCCAAGTGGTTTTCCAGAGTTGTAACCAAGAACATTTTTTTTTTTTGTGGGAGGGGGAGAGGAGTGTCTCATGTAGCCTAGGTTGGCCTTAGATTTCCTGCATAGTTGAGGCTGGTTCTGTAATATTGATCCTCCCTAAATTCTTTATCATTCTGACTCTACCTCCCAAGAGCTGGGATTTACAGGCCTGCAGCACCATGCCTGGCTTTTTCTTTGTTGTTTGTTGTTTTGTTTGTTCAGAGGGGGTTTCGTAGGGTATCTTAGCAGCCCAGTCTGGCGTTGAACTTCCTGAGTAAATGATCTTGAACTCCTTATCTTGCTTTTCCCAAGTGCTGGGATTTCAGGCGAGAGCCACCTAAAAATCTAGAGATTAGGTACAATCTAAATCTGCAAGGCAAGGGGGGTACCGAGGCAGGCAGGGAGAAATGTGGCTCGTAGTGTCTGCTGGTAAATGGAGTTTAAAAGGAATGCTTTTGGGTCAGTGGTAGCGGGGGTTCCGTTCCCAACACCCACATGGGGGCTCACAACAGTCTTTAGCTCCAGTCTCAGGGGACCCTATGCCTTCTCCTGGTTTCCTCAGACACTAGACATGCACACGGTCCATAGACAGACATGGAGACAGGATAAACATACAAATGAAAATATACAAATGATGTTTTTAAAAGGGTAAGCCTTCCCTTCACTTTGCCATTGTGGTTGAGCGTTGTGTGTGGTTTTGTTTGTTTCGTTTGGGTTTTGCTACATAGCCTGTGCTGATCTTTGCTTTACAATCTTTCTGTCTCCCAGATGCTGGAACTTTAGGTGTGTGTCATCATTTCTGCCTTTGCTGTTTTTTTTGTTTGTTGTTTGTTTGTTTTGTTTTATTTTTGTTTTCAGATAATTTCTTTCCAACATAGAGGGCTTGAACAATATAGGTCACCCTGAAGGAATTCTGAAATTCAAGAATTTAGGATTTACCTTGGCACTTGCGGTGGTGGAATATCTCTTTAGTCCCAGCTCTTGGTAGGCAGAGGCAGACCAGCCTGGTCTACAGAGATAGCCAAGGCTACACAGAGAAACTGTCCCAGAAAACACACACACACACACACACACACACACACACACACACACACACACCAGAATGGAAACAGGTCTATGGTTCATGGCTGGCCTTTATGCACCAGCCTGGGGTAGGATGACAATGGTCAGCCAACTTTAAAAAAAGAAAAAAAAAAAAAAAGAAAGAAAAAGAAAAATACAAAACAAAATAATCTCATCCTACTGACAAGCAGCGCTGAGTAAGCCTTGTCTGGGAACTTCCTTTAAGCATAATTGCAAACTTCTGGGAACTTGAATGGAGAGTACGGGGGTGGAACAGACAGAGTTTTCTGTCAAAGATCTGATGTTTGAGCAACACACATGTCCCCAGGCACACTTCATTTGGCGGTACAGTTGGAAAACAGCGACAGCAGCAGCCCCTTCCCCCCCCCCCCCCCAGGATGCCAGGCCACCTTGGGTCTCTTCTGTGTCTCTCAAGGATTGTGGGGACAGGGAGGCCTCCCCTGCACTTCGGAGAAGCTATTTGCTGACTCGCTTCATCAGCCAGTCCTCCCGTGTAGCCGCTTCTCTGCTGGGGGGGGGGGGGAGGGCGGGGAGGGCTTCCTCCCACCTGTTCCACAGTCTAGCCACAAGAAAGACGGACTCTGGGGCCTGTTTCCTCGGGTGCCTCTAACGGCACAGAGCTTTCATTCAACTTTGTTTTTCACCTAAACCGAAAACAAGCGAGGTGATGTCACTTCATAATGTGCCATTCTCCCAAATCATCTCTCCTTGCTTTGGACAGGTGACTCCCTCGCCTCATTCTTGTGATCGTAAATAATTGCTGTGTAGCCCTGAACAAGTTACTCAATGTTTATGTTTGCTTTTTTTTTCCTGTGGGTAATATGGGGAGAAAAATATCGACCTTTCAGATATAGTGAGGGCTAAGTTTGTACGAGGGTCACAGAGTGGGGTTCCCTTCTGAGGTCTCTCTCTCTGCCACGACATGGTTGGCATCTGAGTCCAGACCCAGTTGCAGAGTGGGCTCATGTGCAGCCTGGCTCAGTGGGTGTTCATTTGTTCTCTTGGAGTTCAGCGTTCTTTCTGTATCACTGACTCCTGTTTCTATTTCTCCCCCAGACTTTGGTGACAATGGAGAGTGAGGATGGCTAGTGAGGGATGAGGGAGTGGTAGGAAAGGGGATAACTGCAGCTTAAGGTGGAATTCTGGTATTCTTGATCTAATGTTGTCTAATGCAATTCCAAACCAACTATAATTTTTAATTTTGCTAACATTAGGAGTAATTTGGTTTGTCTTGCTCCACTTAGTGAAAACCACTCTAAAACTTGGTGGCTTAAATTTGTTTTAATTTCTCGTGGCCCTACGGGTTGACCCATGGGTGTTCAGCTGGGCAGTCCTGAAGGTCTCACTTGGGTTTCTTACACGTTGGTAGTCAGATGGTTTCGTTCATGTATTGGACTCCTTATTAGGTGTGTCTGGAAAACCAGGCAGAGCTGGGATGTTGCTAAGGCTAGACCTCTTTCTATCACTTTACAGTCCCAGCCCCCCCCCCCGCCCTTGAACTCAAATGATGGTTCAGAACTTCAAAAGGCATAAAAGTAAGAGCTGCCAGGCCTTCCCAAGGCTTAGTCCTTGAACAGGCACAATATCCCTGTAGCCGAGGTACACTGTTTTTACCGAGCATGTACTTAATTATATAGCGTGGGCTGACATTGAACTAGGGATCCTCCTCAGCCTCCCAAGCACTGAACCTGCAGTCATATGTGGCACCATATGCAGAATGCTCTATTTCTTAAAAAGTAGCCCTGATTCAAAGCAAGGGGCCCGCTTATGTGCCAAAGGGTGAGGCCCGTGGGGGTGGAGTGAGGTTGGGGGCACCAATGTAACGGACTTCCAAACGAAATCTTGGGTTCGGTTTTATCTTTAGTTGCTATGTATACTAAGTGTGTGCCAGAACTTATCTGCCTTCCATCTCAGGATGTTTTTCCTGTAGAAGGGACCATCTTCATAAAGCACTCTACGAGAGGTTGGGGGACTTTGCCCACAAGACAAGTCAAACTCAACACGCCAGTTTGCGGCTTTTTTAGGAAATAATTTTAAAATCATAAATCATTTATTTGGAGGTAGGTGCATATTACAGCAGTACACGTGGAGGTCAGAGGGCAGCTTGCTGGAGTGGATTCTCTCCTGTTTGGGTCCCTGGGATCAAACTCAAGTCATCGGATTTGGTGGCAAGTTCTTTTCCCTGCTGAGCCTTCTCATCAGCCTGGTCTCTTCACTTCCAGGCCTCTCTGTGCACTTATCCACACACAGACACAAACCACACTCTTGCCATTTTGAGTAGCTTCATGAGGTCCCGTCTTATTAGTATAGTCCATGGTCCATCATGAATCATCATTTTGAGCTTCACAATGAAAGAAACAAGCTAATATTAATATGTATTAACTGTCTTTAAAAATGAAAACAAACTTATTTTTCAGTACTAACAGCCTTGTGCATGGTATTTTATCCAGCAACAGAAAGACAACTAATGTGTGTGTGTGTGTGTGTGTGTGTGTGTGTGTGTGTGTGTAAAAGGATAGCCTTTGAGAGTCAGCTCTCTCCTGCCTCATCAAGGGTCTCTCTTATTATTTCTACTGTCCTGTGTACTCCAGGTTAGCTGGACCGTGGGCCTTGTGTGAGTCTCTTGTCTCTGCCCTCCATCTTGATGGAGGATTACTGAGATTACAGGTGCTCACCACTGCCTCAAACTTTTTTACGTGGATTTTGGGGTTGAACTCAGGTCATTGGGCTTCTGCAGTATCTTGTTCCATATTGTGTTGCTGTGAAAAAAAAACAACAAAAAAACATCTGCACAATGGCAACTTAGAGAAAGAAAGGTTTGTTTAGTCCACAATTCCAGGTTACAGCCTATCACCTTCAGATTTAAACCCATCCTTGCTCAAGACACACAAAGAATGCAGCCCAGATTCTTGACCGAAACAATCACAGGAATGCTTTTAATCCCAATGCTTGGTGCTAGAGGCAGGCAGATTTCTGTTGGTCAGAGCCCAGCCTGGCCTACAAAAATGAGTTCCAGGCCAGCCGAGGATACAAAATGATACCTTGACTCAAAAAGAAAAAAAAAAAAAAAAAAGTGCTGGGCACGGTAGCACAGGCCTGTTGTCCCAGTGCTCTGGGAGGCAAAGGCAGGTGGATCTTTGTGAGTTCGAGGCCAGCCTGGTCTACAAAGTGAGTCCAGGACAGCCAAGGCTACACAGAGAAACCCTGTCTTGAAAAAAAGAAAAAAGTTTCCAACTGTCTTTGTTCCTTGCTGAAACCTCATGAGCTAGACCTCTACTGTTCACACTTCTTTCAGCATTCCTGCCTTCTAAGTTCCCAGCTGAATGACCCATTAAGCTCTACTTCCAGCAGGCAATGCATTTTCAAGCCCAGAGTTCCAAACTTTTCCGTATGCCACCCACAAAACAGTTCCAAAGACTCGAAAGCCATACATCAGGTTCATCCTCGTAACCACCCTACTCCTGGTAACAAAGTTTCCTCTTAGTCTCATTACCCATTGTCAGGACCAAACAGCCTGACAAGATCACCTTGGCGGAGAAAAGGCCTATTTTTGTTTTTAGTTCCAGCTTAGAGTCTGTCGTTAAGAAGAGGTCCCAGCAGCAGGATGGGACATATTCAGGAGGAATGTCTCAGGGCTAGTTCTTAGCTCGTTTCCTCAGCTCTTACACAGTTCAGGATCCCCTGCCTAGGGAATGAGCCTATGAAGAATGGGAAGGTCTTCTCCCTCTGATTAACATAATCAAGATGATCTATAGATATACTCACAGGCCAACCTGATCCATGTAACCCCTCACTCTCTTCCCAGCTGATCTGGATTATGGCAACTTGGCAATTAGAACCAAGCATCACACACTACTATGTGCCTTTACCCACTGACTGAGCCATCTTGCTGGCCCATAAAACGCTTTCAAATAGGACCAGATAATCTGATGTCTTAAGTATGGTGTATCTTGATTTAACTACTCAAGATAGAATTGTTTTGTGAGGAGCTCGGTTGAAAGGATTGTAAGCAAAGGGGCATGGAGAAAATGAAATGGTTGTGCGCTTCAGACTTATGTGGGGGCATATTAGATCAGAGCTGACTTGAGTGTCAAGATAGATTGCAACAGTGTTGGCCTTCCGATGCCCCATAAGAAGGCCCATTGTGAATTCTGCCATGGCCTCTTTGTGAAAACTAGATTCCATGGAGGCAAAAACCTCTTCAATATAGACCCAGGTGAAAAGAAAATAAGGCCTTCTGCCAGCTGCCAGAACCATCCTGACAGCCACGTGAGTGTCCACGTGAGTGAGCCCTGAGACTTCAATGACCAGTGTTACAGCTGAAACTCTATCTAGAGTTGTTCAGTCAAAGAAACTATGAGATCGGGAAAGTTCATTGTTTGAGCCACAAAGTTGTGAGGTAATTTATTTTATAGAAAATGAATATGTATACTCTTTTTTTTCTTTTTCTCCCCTCCTTCCTTCCTTTCATTCCTTTCCTTCCTTCCTTCCTTCCTTCCTTCCTTCCTTCCTTCCTTCCTTCCTTCCTTCCTTCTTTTTCTTTTTCTTTCTTTCTAAATGAAAAAATCTTTTTTCAGTACTAAGTGCCTTGTGCATGACATTTTATCACAGTATCAGAAAAGCAACTAATACTGTGTGTGTGTGTGTGTGTGTGTGTGTGTGTGTGTGTGTGTGTAAAAGGATAGCCTTTAAGGGTCAGGTCTCTCTACCTCGTCAAGTTGTCTCTGTCTCCCCATCTCTCCCTTCCCCTCTTCCTCCTTCCATTTCTCTCTCCCTCTCTCCTTCCTTCTCCCTCCTTTCCTCCTAGGGATTGAACTCAGGATTTCTTGGATACTAAATATATATTCTGCCACAGAGCTACACTCCCAGCCCTTTTGTGCAACCATTTAAACATTGCTTCTACAAAGTGTTTGTTCTTTTTGTAATTATAAGCTCATTGTTACCCTGAGTTATATTTCCGCATTCTTTTTTTTTTAATCACCAATTCTGGCCTCCATCTTTTTTTTTTTTTTTTAAAGATTTATTTTATTATGTATACAGTGTTCTGTCAGCATGTGCACATGCATGGCAGAGGAGGGCATCAGATGGTTGTGAGCCACCATGTGGTTGCTGGGAATTGAACTCAGGACCTCTGGAAGAACAGTCAGTGGTCAGTGACCTCTGAGCCATCTCCCCAGCCCTTCTTTTCCATCTTTTAACCCATTTAAGAATGCTGTTTTGGAGGGTCACGTTAAAACATTTTATTTTTTCCCCTGAGGGTCTTCCCATTTTAAGAAATTTCTTCTACCATACTGAAAACATAAGCCAAATGCTATAGGCTCCTGAAGTTTGGGCCTCATTTCTTCAAACCTGCTGAGACAAATGGAAAGGTAATAAAAAGCAAAATGTTGAGAGCATAATTTTTGTTTTGCTAGTTGTGCAAAGTAATTCTGGTTACAGTTAAAAAAGAAAGTGTATTGCTATAATTAAGTAATTTAGGTAAGTAATTCTGACTTTTCACCTAGCAATGGGCAATGTTCAATGACCCCCGAGGCCTTAGGACCAGGGTTGTCAAATACATTGCCCTGCGTGACTCAGCCTCTAATCGCTGTTGTTGTTTTACACAGATGAACATATGTATGTGTACATATGTGTAAATAAATAAATATTACTATTTTCCTTCACATGTTCATTGTTTCCATCAAACTATACTATGATGTTTCTTCTTCATCATTTTTCATGCCAGCTATGATGTGTGTAAAAGCAAAACACAAAAAACGGGGCTTGTGATCAAAAGAGTTGGAAAATGCTGCATGCTCTAGAATCCTCTGGGAGACACACAATGCACGTTAGCATATTAAAATGTCCTGAGGAATTCTTCAGTAAAGAAATCTGTTCAGCTCCAAATAAGATTTATTTGGATTAGTCAGGATCCAGAAGAGAGAGCAGCATCTATGTTAGGGACTTCATTAACACACACACACACACTCACTCACACGCTCATGATTATAAATGCATTAAAAAAAAAAACCTGGAGGCATTTGAATGGTAAATAGTAGAATGAAGGGACATCCGGAGATAGCTTAAGGGAAATGCCACTCCCAGGACTGGAAAGGAGTAAAGGAGGTGGAAAAGGAGGATGATTCAGAATGCTAAAAGGAAAGCCTACAACAAGAATATACCAGATATGGACATGTTTTTGTTTGGTTTTGTTTTCTGTTGGAAGTCTCAGCCCTAATTGAGGTAACTGTAGCCCTGACTGACACAGGAACAAAGTTATTAGTACATGATTAATAAGCGTATTAATATTGGGGGTACCGTGTGACATTTGGGCATATGAGTATATTGTGTAATCAGCCTGTGTCTGATGCAATCTTGTGAGAAACGCTGTTCCAGAAGCACCTGGCCAATCCAAGTTTCAGATTCCCAGTCCTTAGAAATGATGCAGAATAACTAGTAATTGTTGTTTGAAACTTTACCATGTTTCAACGTATCCTTTTTGACAGAAATACCTAGCACACTGATTTTCCTGTTAGTCGTGTTCTGTTGTGGCAAAATCCTTACACTCAGATGTGAATTTGGAATTTGGGCAACAGTTCTGAGGACAATGTTAGATAGTAAAAATCTTTTTCTTTTTCTTTTGTTTGAGACAAGGTCTCATACAGCCTAGGCTAGCCTCCGACTCTCTATGTGGCTGGGGCTGAACGCTGTCTCCGCCTGAGTGCTGGCTTTACAGTCGTGCACCTCCGTGACCGGCCATCAGATGGGCTTGAACTTAACTTAGATGTTGGGATGCTGGTCTTCAATCGAATGCTGTAATGAGATGATGTTTCTGTCGACTTGGTGGAGGTGTGTACACAGGTGCATTTTACATGTGAAAAAGACATGAATCACTTGACACCGGAAGGTGGGCCTGGTACTAGTCTCCAGGATAGCAGCTAGTTTCTAAGACAGCTCAATTCTAGCTGTCTCTGCCTTATATTCATACCCCGTGGCCAACAGCTCGTAACACAAGTGGGTGTTCCTTCTGCGATTAGGCTGTGAAAAGACTGTGGCTTCCATTTGGATCTGTCCCATCCCCCACCCCACTCCCAGTCTTGGATTACTCCCTGTTGGAGAAGTAAACTGCATGCTGTGCATGGTCCCAGGAGAAGTCCACCTGGCAGGGACCAGCCTGGCAGGAACTGTTGCTGGCGAGCTCGGATGTGAATTTCCTTTCCTTTCCTTTCCTTTCCTTTCCTTTCCTTTCCTTTCCTTTCCTTTCCTTTCCTTTCCTTTCCTTTCCTTTTTTTCTTTCCTTTCCTTTCCTTTCCTTTCTGAGACAGGGCTTCTCTGTGTAGCCTTGGCTGTCCTGGACTTTTTTTGTAGACCAGGCTGGCCTGGAACTCAGTAAGATCTGCTTGCCTCTGCCTCCTTGAGTGCTGGGATCAAAGGCGTGCGCCACCGTACCCAGCTTGGAAGTGAATTCTTTCTCCCTGCTCTAGCTCTAACTAACATCTCGACCTCTTGAGAGAAGCACCAGGCTCAGTCACCCTCTGTTACTAACTCTCAGGAACTATGTGAGATAATAGCATGCCTGTTCTACACCCGGATGTTTCCATGGCATTTCTATACAGCAACAAATAACCAACAGACAGAAGTTCAGGAGCCCAGACAGCCAAACAGGCACCAGAGATGGGGCTTCTCTTTTCTTCTTTGGGACAGTCTCATGCGGATCAGGCTGGCCTTAAACCAACTGTGAGGTAAAGATGACCTTAAATTCCTGATCCTCCTGCCTCTACGTTCCAAGTGCCTTGATTACAGGGATGCAGCATCACACAAGGGGACTTTTCACCTGCTGTTAGATGCAGCCTGAAACACAAGAGGAATAAAAAGATTTGGCCTACTGGTGGACCTTCATCTATCACCCATTGTTCCAAATCAAACCAAACCACAAGGAAATTAATGAGGGGGTTTGATACATGCTGTTTGTGAGGAGCAGTCCGGGATAGAGCAAAGGAGGAGGGACATGCGAGGATAAATGAGCAGATTATCAGCACAACCAAGAACCCCCTTTTCAGTAAAATTCCCGATAGAACTTGTTTTCAAACTCCAGCTGGAGAAACACTTCCTAAAATTTTCATCCGAAAAAAACAGGGCATGCCCGAGTCTTGTGCATCAGTTAAGAAGCCCTAAGCGAAACGCAGAGCCATTTCTCCCTCAGCACCTAGGGTAGCCCCCGTTTTCCCTAAGCACCGTCATGCTTGATCCCCACTCATTTAAACCATTTGTAAACACAATTATAGAGCTGTTTATTGTATGAGACATAATAAGCATTTTAAGTCAGGTCTGCTTCTGATTCCCTGTTGCCTCATCGCAGCGCTTAGTGTAGAACCTAGTAAACACCAGTGCCTGCTAAGTGAATGAGTGAATGTCAAAACCAGTGGCTGAAAGGGTATAATAGGTCTCTTCATTTATGTTACCATCATAGAAGCTATCATAGGAGCCTGTGGTGAAACCAAGAGAACGTAGGATAAACTTTTCTTGGCTGTCATACCTTTTGAACTTCTTTGAACTTTTCTTGAGGAAAGAGAATAATGAAATTGCAAACTAGTTTGTATCTGAGCAGGAATAATTATCCTGTAAGACCAAAGTCCTGTCTGGATTCCCCCCACCCCACCCCACCCCCGCCCCTGCATAAGGAGTAGGTCGGAAGGATTGCATTTGTCTTTTCTTTTAGCTTTGGCCACCCAGGGGGGGGGCAAAAGTCACCTCAAGTAAAAATAACATGTTCAGCAGTTTGCTGATTTCCTCTACTTCCCCAGGTTCCTTACTGATAGAATAAATGACAGTGAGAAAGGATGTTTGCAGACAATCTCCTTTAACTTGGGTCAGGCCTCTCCACTTTCAGCTTGAATTGCCACCATGCCCCCAACACGTCTCCAAGTCTCCCGGCATCTTGTTTCTAAAAACAAATCTTAGCTTGTCACACTCCTGTTTAGTCTTTCTTTTCTGGAAAAGAACCCAAACTCTTTATGCTTAGGACCTGAGGTTTCTTTTCCAGCCAAACTGTCCAGTGTCCCTCCTCTTTTCCTTCTGTGAGTTTCCCCTCCCCCACCAGCCTTTTCCCTGGCTCAACCCAACTCATCCTTCAAGATTTAGTTTCAACTGTCCCTCCAAGAAGCTTCTCGGGAACCTTTGTGCTATATCAGACCCCTTAGACTGTTCTATGGGCTGCTTTGGGTGCAGAGAAGCTTTTTTCTAAATCTCAACACTTCAGTTTAGAAAAGTGGGATGGTATCATAGCTCAGAAGCTTGGAGCAAAGATAGAAGGGACCCTGACTAACATGTATTGCCTGTCACATATCAGCTGTTAATGGGAGTGGTCATTCAACCTGCTCTCTTCTGTGTCCCTTTGTAAGAGCAGGAGGTCCACTCGGTCAGGTTATTGGCTGGAATAGAAAAGGTGGAAGGAGATCATGGATTTGCTACTCAAAGTAACGGAATTAGGATTTCAAAATTCAAGTTAAAATGAAACATTTGATAGAAAATTTGAGGTAGATGTTACATTATTGAGAAAAGTAGCAATTTAGGAAAGACAATGTTTCTTTCTTTTTTTTTTTCTTTTCTCAACTTGTGGATTTACTTTGTTTTGTCCCTCACCCTTGTATATTCACTGAAGTGAGGACCTGCGCACATTCGCTAACAAAAATGCTGTGTAACGTCTGTCTATTGAATTAAGTACAACATTAAGCCATTAACATGACCTTAAGAAAAATCAATGCTGTCTTTAGGCTGAAGACCACTCACTCTATGGCTTAATTGGTTCCTTCTTTGCTTTCAGCTTTTGACTCTAAACTTGAATTACCCGACAGAGTCACCATTAGTCACATTTACCTATTGGGCTCTTGAAATGTGGCTAGTCTGAATTGAAGTGTGCATTAACAAACATAGATTTTGGAAGGTTTGGCAAAAAAAAAAAAAAAGAGTCGCTATATGAATATATTTTATATGAACTACATATAGAATGATATAGTTTCTGACATATTGGCCAAAGATTTTAATATGTGTAATAAACAATAATTGAAATTATGAGATTTATTTGGCTACGTTTCATTTCTACTGGCTAGCTCTGATCTAGATTTGGCTTTTTTTTTTTTTTTTTTTTCCACAATCAGGGGTAGAGGATTAATCCTAAGGGCAGGCTTTGCTCTATTCTGGATTTCTCTATATCAAGCAAGGAGTCCAGGAGCCAGAGCCTCCTCCATTTCACACAGAAAGGAGCTCCTGAAAGCTGAAAGGAATTAAAGAGTAGTTTTAAATGGAGAGACCACTAAGTGGATCTGTGTTTCAAAGAGAAGGTCACCAGTGGTTAGTGAGCCCAGGCTACCTCTCAAAGTAACCTTGAAATTCCTCTCTGGATTCTTGTCAGCTATTTTGCTCTGTCTCTCAGTCACTGCAACAATCCTCACGCCTGGTGCTATTGTACATGCCCATTTTATAAATGAGTAAATCAAAGTTGTGACACCAGAAGGAATAGTTTTGACTTCATTTGGTCCAACTGTCCAGATGTCATATCTAGTATCTATCTTTTCCATCTTATTCTTGCATGTCCTGACACACACATACACACTATGTGTAGTGTAAACTGTATAATATAAAATGCGATCTCAACCATACAGAAAAAATTTTCCCATATAGGGAAAAATTGGAAGGATATGTATAAAAATGTAAAGAGGGGATTAATTGTGGGAATGTTATGGACTTTTTGAGGTAATACACTTTTTTTCCCCCCTGAGACAGTGTTTGTGTAATAGCCCTGGGTGTCCTGGACTCGCTTTTGTAGACTGCTTGGCCTCAAACTCAGATCTGCTGCTTCTGCCTCCAGAGTGCTGGGGCTAAAGGTGTGTGCTGCCACACCTGGCAATATGCAGTTTTGTTTTGTTTTTTAAGACAGGGTCTTGCTATGTAGCCCAGGCACATCTCAAGCTTGCTTATGATTCTCCTGCCTCAGCCTCTTGAGTATATATATATATCACCACATCTGTTTTTTTTTCATAGTGTTTTTTTTTCTAAAGCAATTGATGATCCTACACATCACTATTTCCTAAAGTTTCTATTTTTGTTTCTCCTTAACTCATACAAAATGTCATCTTAACACAATGTAGGTGGTTCCCAAGATGCTCTCTGAGAATGACGCTGGCCTCATTTTCTCCCTTCCTCCCCAGGTTTCCATTCCTTTCTCTGCTGCTCTTAGTCCTCTGCTGTGTCTCTTCCTTCCCCCAGTCTCTTTCTGCTGTGACCTCTGACCCACCCCAGACCCCTCCCTTCCTTGGTCTCCAAGTTCTTTCCTTCTAGAGACATCTTTCCTGTCATCAGATTCTCCTTTCTTTTGGATAAGATTGACATTCAAATGAAAGTTCAATCAAATGTTACTTCCTACGTGGTAGATTTCAGGCAAATTCTACCTGCCCCTGGATTCCTGAGGTGTATTATGGGTACGTGTGTAAGTGTGTCAGAAGGGAGGGGAGGGAGGGAAAGGGGAGCATGGAAGAAGGTGGATGGATATGCTTTAGAAAGGGCGTGGGAGAGGACATTTCAAGCTGGGGAAAGCATCGGAACAGAGAGCTGAGGATCCTCTCCAAGAAGGAGAGATGAGGGAAGGAGCTTTTGCCTCACTGGGTCTTGGGATCACTGACTCCTGGTCCTGGCACTCAGTTATAAAGGATGCCGACCTTAGTTGATTTGAGCTCCTGGATTGAATTAGTCCTGGTTGTATAATTGACTTTGATATGTGGCCTTTGGATCTGAATTGGGTTTAATGAGATTTAACTGCTTCAAAGAGCTTTATAAGAATTCATTTTATCCTTCAAATCTGATTTCAAATGCTGCCTACTTGATGGACTCCTCCTCCAGTGCTCCTAGAGTGTCACAGTTGATGCATATCTTATCCAGATCACTGCCTTTT